TACCTCCACGTGGTGCACCCTGGGCAGCGTATTTTCTTACGGCAAAAAAGTCTATCACTCGGCTTTCGATATACGCATATATGGCTAAAAGGTCTATTAACCGGCATTTGACTTCTGACTTCAAACTACCACGACCCCCCTGGTTGTCACATTCAACCCCTTCTACAGTACTCACCTTAACTTTTTCTCTACCTTTGTGTCTGTCTGCCTCTTTTACATCTGTGAATCACTCTTCTGTTCCCCACCCCTCGACTTTCTGCTACTTTGATGAACCTTCCCTCTGTGAAGCCCGAAGTCAGTTAAATGGCTAATGATATCTATCCAAAAGCCTGCCATTTAAAATAAATAAATGAATGTATTGCAAAAGTTTAAGGTCAAAATGATAACGAGATATGAATTTCCTAATCTTTTCACAGGTAGACCTTTTCTTTAACGAACAATTGTCGTCCCAATGCGTGGATTGATTTTTCAGGTTAAAGTGCTCCGTTCAAGACTTGCCAATGGCAATTAATGCTCAAAACGATTGATCTTACCAGATACAGCCAGTCGACAGTTAGTTAGGCCGAATTCGATTACGTCGCCCATGGAAAGAATGTCACCTTGATGGCTTGGAAATTACTCAATATTCCTTTTCTTGCTTATCATTAGAAAAAGCAAAGTTTTCATCTTAGGGAAGCGGTTCAAGCTCATTTGAAGCTTAAATGTTGGTCAATTAATTTTCCTCTGGCGAATGGTAGGATTCCAGTCTCGGTGTTTATTTTATCCGTAACAACGACATTTAAAAATAGGTAAATCAATTCAGAACGCTTTGCCTGAGGTTAGTCTAATAATTTTTTTGATTGCGCCATCTTTTACATGGAAATGGAAGCTCAATGAAAGCTCGAAACTTACTTTATGAAATAGAATTGACTTTTCCATTGAGAACATTCAATTTCTAAGAAAGAAAGCAATTAAGTATGATAGCAATTTTAGCTCACCTCTAATATATTGACCTGCAGAAGCTTGCGAGAAAGAATTCTTCCAAGTCTTGTCCCTGAAATGTAAATTTTCCAAGTCATTGGCGGCAAAAATATTTAAATTTGCAAATTATTGCTAATTTAATGTTCATGGCTTGCAATACTCACTGTCAGTATAATGAAGGGAATGGACGTCTATGACGGTAGGAAATTTACTAAATTGGAACAATTGATGCATTTAACAGGTGGGTCTATGCTCGTTTCCGCGCATGTAGGTGGATGTCTTTGTATTCGGCACAACTTTGTTGAAAGGAATTTCACCCAGTTATATTTGTTTTCTTCTGCTCTCCCTCCTCGGGTTAAATCAGGCCAGAGAAGTAATTTTCACAAGAAGTGATTCTGAGGTGCCTATTCGAGCGTAAACAAATTGACAATTTCATTTACATGCACCTGGCAAGCTTTCCTTCATGCCCACGACTAAACTGATCTTCAAGGTAGGCGATTCTGCTTTGTTGAAATGAGTGGGGTGGGGTGGGGGTGGGGATAGGTGTAGGAGGGGGGAGGGGGGGGGGGGGGGAGGAAGGATGAAACTATACAGGTGGATAGTTGGAGCGGCATAGCTCTGCGCCTTTAAACAAATAGTCCTTTTTAACGTCCACGTGTATTTATCGTCTTACGAAACTTGAAGGTGCTCGTCAATCGCAACCCTCAAGTATAACTCAAATTTATCGAAAAGTAGGTGCTGTGTTCCCAAAATCGTCTTAATCGCAGTTACTTTGAAACTTTCGCTTAAAGAACCTTTTAAGTATTCCAAATGAAACATAGAAAGTGCCATATGTTTGCAGTAATTAATTCACCCCTTACATACTTTTTCAATTAGATAATTTTTATTATTTGAGGTGAGATTGGAAGATGGGGGGAGGTGAGAAGACGCTGTCCTCGTGACCCACAGAAGAATTTCGAGCAGGTTTTATGAATGTCTCAGCCCACGACCCCCATGCTTCGAGATTTTAATGGCATTGCATAATGCTCTTTGGCCCATAAAGTTGCAGGTTTCTATTTTATAAACATGAGGCTAATTTATTGATCGGCTCTTCACATGCTCAAATATGATCTTTGTTAATTAGTTTAATAGTTCGTGCGTAGTTACTGAATGGGAGAAATTGAGCATTGCAATTAGCCTTCTTATAACCATTCCAGACTCAAAGATGCTTTTAGAAATCAAATTACTTAGAAGTGCGTGAAACCTGAAAGCAATATCAAATGGCAGGCGTTGTGATGGTTATCATTAGCCCTTTAGTTGACTTCAGTCTTCACAGGGGGGAAGGAACATCAAAGTGAAAGAAAGTTGAGAGGGGGGGGACAGAAGAGTGTTTCAAAAATGAAGGTATAAAAGGTAGAAAAAGGTGAGGTGAGTACTGTAGAAGTAGTCGAATATGACATACACTGGGGTGATGATAGTTTGAAGTCAGAAGGCAACTGCCAGTTAATGGACTTTTTGCCTTATGAGTATACGTTGCCCAGGGTGCACCACGTGGAGGTAAGTCAATCACTCACCCCTATTTTAAAACAGAGACATTTGAGATTTAACAGTTAGATCCCAAGTCGCAAAGTAAGCGAAGCAAAGAATTTGGGCACTAATAGCTAGTAATCACTTTGATAGTACCCTTAAATAAATTGAACTATTGTTTAATGAATTTTTTACGCTGTTTCAATCTTCAATTTCACAAAACTTGAAATTTTCCCAAATTGTCACTTCTGCGTGTCGGCATATGCTGCATTAATACCACATTGACACATCTTATCTTCCAGCTGCCAACATGTTCACAAGACCTACGAATGAAGGATGGGGTTCGAATTTCATTATCTCGGTTCTGAAAAGTAAATAACGCTTTATATCTGAAGAAGTGAAAATTTATCGGCCTCCTTTCAACCGATTAGCTTCATTTTAACTCAAAATTGAGTACCAGGGACACAAAACTTCAGTCGATCCTGCTTCATTTTTTCAGGCAAGGAATAAAGAAAAAATTACCTTCCATTAGTCAGATAGCCGAGCAAAGAGCATGTCTGGAAGTCCACAAGTTTGAAACACTTATTATATGCTATTGTGGGATGCACGACAGATGCATCCTGGGCAACGTATGCTCATACGACAAAAGTTTATAAACAGCCAACTGACTTCGGACTTCAAACTACCATGATCCCATTGAATGTCATATTCGACCACTTACACAGTACTCACCTTTGTGTCTGTCTCTTTTATAACTGTGAAACACTCTTCTGTCCCCCCCCCTCTCGACCTTTGCGACTTTGTTATTTCACCCTCTCTGAAACATGAAGTCAAAAAAAGGGCTAAAAGTAACTGTCATAAAGCCTGCCATTTGATACAGCTATAAACTATTACTTTTACCAATAGTAAATAAATGAAAATTCTTAGAATAAATAATTCCGTAATTGCGCTAGAGAAGAATAGAGCATGTCATCTATCTTGATTTTCCTTGATTGATTCTTCTTTCTTTAGAGCTTCGTTTATAAATCCTCCAAGTACTCAGTGTTCATGATATTGAACATAAATTCCATCTTACATATTAACACCAAAGTTTACGATAATTCTCACACTAGGTCATATTCAATTGTTTCGTTTAGAGCTATTGGCCCACAACGTCTGCTGAAAGCTTAGATACTCTTAAAATGTCACTAAGAGTAAATTCATTTTCCTAAGCCCAATAGATAATAAAGTGGACTGTTAGTTACTCTCAAACATAATTTCGTATTTTCATTTTTGCAACGATTTTAGGCGGGTTAGATGTTCCATTTGATACTATCTCAGAATCCAAAGTAGTAGACTAAAGTAGGCCTAACCTTAACTAAGGCAAATGAAAAAAATCATATATATTCATTAAAACATTATTTATATCAAATGGCAGGCGTTTCGATAGGTATCATTAGCCCTTTAGTTGACTACGGGCTTCATAGAGGGAAGGAGGAACATCAGAGAGAAAAAATTCGATAGGGAGGAACGGAAGAGTGGCTTAAAGATGTAAAAGAGACAGACACAAAGGTAGAGAAAAAGTTAAAATGAGTACTATGGAAGTGGTCGAAAATGACATACAGTGGGGTCATGGTAGTTTGAAGTCAGAAATCAACTGCCAAATAATAGACTTTTTTGCCGCATGAGCATACACAATGACATACAGTGGGGTGATGGTAGTTTGAAGTGAGAAGTTGTGACATATAGTGGGGTGAGGGTAGTTTGAAGTCAGAAGTCCACTGCCGGTTTATAGACTTTTTGCCGTATGAGTATACTTTGTAACATACAGTGGGGTCATGGTAGTTTGAAGTCAGAAGTCAAGATGTCAACTGCCGATTAATAGACTTTTTTGCCGTATGAGCATACGTTGCCCAGGGTGCACCACGTGGAGGTAAGTCTAAATATACATTGCCCAGGGTGCACCACGGAGGTAAGTCTATTGCACACCCCATGATACCTATCATAACGCCTGCCATTTGAAATCACACCCCTCATAAAAACATAAATTCTTCATTTATGTATATATATTTTTCCGACAGGATGATTACTTTTTAATTACGCCCCTTGATTAAGTACATAACTACGAAATAAAAGTGGGATTTAACCTAACAATTTAGCATTATTCTAAAAATGAATTTATGTACAAAAACAAAAAATTCTTGTTTAGACAGTCAACAAAATAGGAATCTCGCACCACTATTGGTTGTTGCATTCAACTTTTGCGCGATGCACTGCCAAGCTAGGTAGGAGGAGCCAATGCCATGCTTAAGAAACGCACGCTGTTTTCTGATTGGAATAAATGTGAGAGAAGCGCTATTAAAGCTAAATTTCAAGATATTGGACATCTTCGCTGAAATAACTAATTGTCTTTCATCTTTTATCCCCGTAAGTCTTCATGACTTCTTTTCTAATATTATCATCTAAAGAAAAAGTAATATTTTAAACTTCTCTCCATGCAGATAATGCAAAATGAGAATGAAACGAAAAATGTGACCATGTCGTTTTCAACTACCATGAACTTACCAATGAACCATTCTGTAAATACATCGAATCTACTTCCGAACTTCACTATACTCTCAGACCCAATTAATGAAACGTTTCTACAACTGATGCAGCAGCATCAAACCGTTCAACAACTGAAAACTGAACAAACTGTGTTGTTAGAAGGCAAAGTTCTCGAAAGCGTAATTCGAAAAGCGATTCTTGATCAGATTCAAAATAAAAATAGCAGAATTAACATCCATGGAGAGTTAAAAATCGCAATTGATTCTAAAGCTCCTATCACTGTTAAAATTAATTTTCATTCTCCACCGGCTTCCAGGAGAAAATCATACACCCCTGTTCGAATTCTCCCTACTATTCCACATTCACCGGACTCAATGAGCATGAATTCGGGGACATTCGATATCGCCCGCTCTGGTTCATTCCATTCAACTGAAATTTCTACAGTTGCGCCTTTGAAAACAGATTTTAGAAGCAGGTTGAATAATCGGTGTGAAGATTATGAATCCTCTAAAAAAAGGACGTCAACTTCAAAACGAAGATCTACCTCTAGTCGTCGAAACTTCCCATGTAATCAGTGTAACAAGATGGAATTTCTTTCTCTTCAACAATTGGAAGAGCATACCAAGCAAGTCCATGGAAGTTATCGTTGCCATGTCTGCAGTCACACCTTCACTCAACGTTCCAATCTCCAACGTCATGCTCTCAAGCATGTGGGTTTCAAGCCATTCCTATGCGGCATTTGTCTGCAGGGTTATTATCGCAAGGACCACTTGATGAGACATATGGAAGTAAATCATCCAACTTCTAATTCTCGAGAGAACATCAAGGTCTTTCTCTCCTCATCACAAAGTCTTGATTTCCTGAATATCAGCAAATTTGCCTTTCACAATTTTCCCTCTCTTAGTTCGATTAGTTCTGAAAAGTCAAAATCTAAATGCCAAAGCAGTCTCCCTAATTGACATTTAGTATTTTATCGCAATACACTCAGACTATCTGCAACCAGCACAATGGATTCAACTTCAAGATAAATTGTAACTACTAGTGTCAAGAGTGCTTAAACCAAATCTGTCGACATCATGGATACTTTTATGTTATTTCTATTTAACTAACCTTTTTATTCCGCGTTTTATACTTATCCTGCACTGATAAATTTTTATCTGGTTTTCTCCTTGTAATAAAAAGTGCAACGTTTGAAGTGAATAAAGTTTTGTTGCATATTCAAGGTGTCTCAAAACTGAATACACATTGGAACCAATTGTAAATGTACCGTTCAATTAGAATTTAATCATTTCAAAGGCGTAAAATTTATTAGAATATAATTTTACTGTTTTGCACTGCTTGTTCTCAAACTGGCGTCCATTTTGATCCCGACACAGCTGACAACGCCAAGCAATGGAATGGCATATATACTATGAAATAATTCCCTTGGGATTTGAAAGCATTCTTGCTCAATGGCTTTTCCTAATTCAATGACTGTTGTAGGTTTCGTAGCGTAAACTTTGCCTTTTAAGTATCTCCATAAGAAAAAATCTAGTGGTGTGAGGTCTGGTGAATGGGGGAGGATATTCAACAAAACCTTTTCGTTGAATTCACCTCTTTGGCAGAACCTCACCAAGGAAAG